GGAGATGACGTGCGACAGGATGCGGAGCACGTACGTGGAGTGGTTGAGGGGGAAGTACCCGAACCAGACGCAGAGGATGACCAGGTGGTGGGGCAGCCAACAGAGGCAGAACAGCACGGCCACAATGATGATCATCCTGGTGACCTTCCGCTTGGCCTTCTTGGACTCGGACATGTCTTGGAGAGGGTCCACGGACTTCCACAGGTAGCGAATAGTCCGCACGTAAGTGAGGCTCAGGATCAGCACCGGGATGATGTAGCTGAAGACGAAGGTGCAGATGTCCATGACCTTGCGCTGGGAGATCTCCCAGATGGGGTGGCACACGGTCAGGTTGGCCAGCTGGAATTCCTGGTAGTAGCTGAGGTAAGGGCCCGAGAAGATGAAGGAAAGCCCCCAGATGAGGCCGATGGCCATGAGGGCATTCCGGGGCGTCCTCAGCTCCCTCGAGTGCAGGGGGTATCGTATGGCCAAATACCTGCGTGGGAAAGGGAGAGGGACACAGCTGCAGTCCTGGGGAGGACACAGAGAGAGCACCTCTGGGACCGATTGGAGGAAGGGCACAAGGGATGGATTTGAGTTTTCCAGGGCAATTAGTTACACAGCTGATTCCCTGATGCTTTCTCAGGGTCCTTGTACAGTGCAGAGTGAGGAAGATCCTCACCCAACCCTGTCCCGTCACCCTTTCTGCTCCCAGCAGTACTTGTGGGGACAAGAGGTATGGTCCCCTTCTGTCCCTCTCCCTAATCCAGCAGATCCTCACTTGATCGTCACTCTGACTGGCAGAGCACAAATGATAGCAGCAGTGTGGATACGAAGGCAGGAGCAAGTCCCCAGGATCCCCAGACAGTGTTCCTCACACTGGCACACATGAAAGCACATCACCCCTTTTCAGTTCTGTAATTAGCTGGTTCCCTAATTACACCCAGAACTGAGGGCCTGTGCTACCTCCCTAGCTTGGCACCTCTGTTCCCCCAGCTCAGTGGGACATGGGGGAAGAGGCAGCCCCTGGCCATGTTTTAGCTCCTGGGGATGCTGTCCCAGCACCTGCTGGGATGGCAGAACACACCCAGCCCAGCTCTGGGGCTCCCATGGTTCTTCCCATGGACTTTCCACATCTCATCTTGCAGGTTTCAGGCACAGAGCAGAGCAGCACCAGGAGCTCCCTGCCTCTCACTCACTGCAGGTTCATAACTCACCGGCCCTTGCAGAGTCAGGGGCTGAGTGAGCATGAGGTAAAGCTCAGGCAGGAATAACAGCCTTCCTGGCTAAAAACTACCCTGGAAAAGGAACAACCACTGGAGCAAAGGGACAGCACTGGGAGAAAAAGGGGCTTTTTGCTAATGAAAGGGGAGGGTGGGAAAATCAGTGTCTCAGCTCAAATATTGCAGTGCCTTTTCCTCCTCGAGGTTTGCCTGCTTTGCTGGGGGCTATTGGGAGGGTCAGGGCTCTCTCCATACATCCCAGGGAGAGCCACAACTGCACAGGGACTGAGCTTTGTTTTTCTCTGGTTTTCCATTTCCACTTCAACTGCCAGAGCCCAGTCCTACAGCTCTGGGGTCTGAAATCTTCTGCCAGCTGGGCACTGAGGACAGGGGTCGCAGTCCCAACCCTCTGGTAGACCCCATCCTTGGTGGTTTTATTTCCTTGCACACATCAACTGGGAAATGCTCCTGGATTCCTCTAGGAGCCCCGGGAGATGGCAGCAATCAGGGCTTAACTCCAGGGGATTCTGTCCCCTCTCTGCCTAGGAGGTATCCAGAGAAAGGGAACCCTCAGGGTGCAGGGAGCCCCCCCATTCCCTTTTTCCTACCTGTCGAGGGAGACGGTGGCCAGGGTGAAGCTGCTGGCGTACATGGTGAGGTAGATGAAGAAGTGGACAGCCTTGCACATGAAGGGCCCAAACACCCACCCCTCCAGGGTGTAGATGGTGGCTTGGAAGGGGACGCAGAAGAGGATGAAGCAGAGGTCGGCCACCCCCAGGTTGAGGATGAAGAGGTTGGTGGTGTTCTTCACCTGCCCGTTGCGCAGCAGCACGGCCAGGACCAGGCTGTTGCCCACCGTGCCCACGAGGAAGATGACGAGGTACACCAGGGGGATGATCACGGACTCAGGATGCCAGCCCCCCTCGGAGCCTGCCGTGGAGCTGTTCATGGCCGGGAGTGCACGGAGAGGGGATGGATGGGGGGAAAATGCGTGGAGAAGGCACTGGGCAGGCACAGAGGGTGTGGGAGTGCAGGGGAAAGGGGTGCACGGAGAGGTCAGTGAGGGGTGGATCAGGGACTACACGGAAGAAGGGGTGCACAGAGAGCACCTGGGGAGTGCAGAAGGGATATAGGGGCAAAGGGGGTGCAGGGAGTGCAGCGGGGAGTGCAGCAGGGATGCAAAGGAAAAGGGGGTGCAGGGAGAGCACGCTGGAGAGCACAGAAGGGATGCACGGAGAAAGGGGGTGCAGGCAGAATGCGGTGGGGAGCACAGAAGGGATGCAAAGGAGAAGGGGGTGGACGGAGAGGTCAGCGAGGAGCGCACCGCGAACGCGCAGGGAAGGGGTGAAGGGGAAAAGGGGCGCACGGAGAGTGCACGGGAGATGCCCGGGAAAGGGGGTGCAGGGAGAGCCGGCGCGGGGGGATGCAGGGGGGAGCCGGGCGCCCTTCACCTCCTCCGGGGTCGGCGGGAGCCCGCGGCCGCTCGGTGCGGCTCCGGCGGTGCGGATCCAGCGCTCTCCGTGCGCCGCCGGAGCGGGGGGGCCCCGGGGCGGCTCCGGGGCGGCCGCTCCCGCCCGGCCCCGCGCATCGCGCCCCGAGCCCGGGGAGGGGATCCCGGGCCCTTCCGCTGCCCGTGGGGAGCCCTCCCGGGCACAGGGGCTCGGGGCAGGGGCGCTTTGCCCCAGTGCGAGGTAAATATCTGTTAGTGATGTTACACCCCGGGCCGGGGCTGGGTGCCCCAAAGGGAGCTGGACACCCAAAGTCTGAGGGTTTTTTCCTTATTGCTTCCCCATGCAGCAGTCACTGGGAGAGGGCTTTTCAACCCTAGGGGCTGCAGGGCTGGTTTTTTTTAGGAATGGAGGTTCCTCTCCTACTGCAAATGTGTCCAGCATGCAGCTAAATCCTTGCACCAAAGCACCCGAGGTGAGCCCAGGTTTGCAGGAGAAACCGCGTTTCTCCCCAGGGCTGGCGGGTCAGGGTGATTCACTGCAGCGAGAACAGATTTTTGTCACGTCTTGTCTTCTTTTCCTGCAAAAATTGCTCAGAGCCTTTACAGATGGAAGTCTTGGGACTGGCCGGTGCAATCAGCTCTCCAAGGACTCTTCATGTGGCCCCCAGGCTGCTTTGCTTTGTTCCTATGGAGAGAGAGAAGTATTTAATGCATCAATTACTCCTGTAACTGACCCACTCCACAGCTTCCCAGTTCTCTTCACGGACGTCCAGAGCTGAGCCTGCTGGCAGTGCTGGGAGCTCCGGGGACACTCACAGCCCTATGACATTGCCAGTATAGGGTACAGAGCCCTTTTCCATCCTCAGTAGCCCACAAGAAGCCCCACAAAGCCAGCTCCTGTTCAGACAAGGTATATGGGAAAGTGGATAGACCCCTTTGGATGAGATGAGATGATCCTGACATTATCTTGCCGGCAATTAGGAGCAGCACAGCGGGAAACTGGCCATCCCACAGGGTTCAAGGAGGTGCTGAGGCACAGGGTGTAGCTCTGCCTCCCTCTCCTGATCCCAGACTGGCCACATTCCCCTCAGGGAATCACTCCTGGCCTCAACAAGGGCTGAGCCACATCCCCAGCCATGACCATGGATGTTGCAGGGCCAGCTCGTGGGGAAAGCCCAGCCCCAGGGAGTTTTTACCCTTGGGAAATTGCCCTAGTTCCAGGGAGGTTTCACCCCATGGGATCTGCCCTGTGTCCTCAGATACTCACTGCAGGGCACTGGCATTTGGGTGATGACACTGGTGGTGTCTTTGGTCTCCCTTGAGCTGTGGTCAGCTCTCAGATAGGCCAGGTCCACCCTCGTGCTACAGGGTGAGATTATTAAAAAAAAAAACAACCAAGGAAAATACCCAGTTTCTTCCTGAACACCAGCACAACTCACAACCTGCAGCTCTGTACACAAACATTAGTAACAGAATCCCTCATCCAAAAACTGCAAAATAAGTTCTTGGCCTGAAACATAGATGGGTTATTTGGGCAGGGGTGCAGCAGCATGGGGATCTGGCCTCCAAACCCCCAAAAGGAAAAGTCACATTATAAGGCTACCAGCCCTCCCAGACTGCAGGGGCAGGCAGCACGGGGAGGGTCTGTGCATGGTGTGAGTGTTTGGAGCTGGTAACCCTCACTGGATTTATCCCTGCGGCACCAAAGGCAGCTCAGCCCTGCTGCAAGGCTCTCACCAAGGCTCTGCTTGATGCAGTGCTGCAGGTTTGTGTGGTCCTCCTCTCCCTCTGCCCTGCAGCAGGAATCTACACATCGAGCCAGTGGTTGGCAGCTTTATCCTTCCATTTACAGGCTCCAGAGGAGCAGCAAAGTTTTGTGTCAGCGTATGAGAAAGAAATGTGCCCGTGCCACACCTGATGGCTGCTCTGGCATTGGAGTGGGTCCCTTGGTTGGTGAGATGCATGTGGGGCACCTGAAGGTGGGTGCTGCCTTTATCAGTCCATCTGAACCACAGAGAGAAGCAGTTGTTCCTAAAACAGACTTTAATTGCCATGTCTGCTTAGTTCAGCATCATCCTGGAGCACAGTTTGGTTTAGAGAGGGAATGGATTCCTGGGAGATGTGTTGGGAACCTGGAGCAGACAGACACAGTTTAAGAGATTTGCTTCAGCTTGAGGACACGGTTGATTTTTTGTTTTATTTTTTCCCTTTGAATTTCCTGTCCATGAGAAGAAAGGAGAACTTTGGAACCAGGAATAAGATATCACAGCTGAGCTCTTGGAAGGGGAGAGGAGCCAAAATTGCTGCTCGCTGTAGTGTGGCAGCAGCAAAGAGCAGCCAGGCAGGCAGAGCCCAGGCTGGCAAAGATAGGTCTGGGCCTGATGAGAGCAGCTCTGAGAGCAGTGTGTACCACTCACTATTATAACCACTATGTTTGTGTAAATATTTATCACCAGGTACTCAAAACAGTTTGGGGTTTGTTCCTAACGAGTTATCTCCAAGCTTGGTTCAAATATTTAAAACCCATGTGCAAGAGGACCTGGTTTTAAGCGCTTCTCCCAGGTAGCGGGCGCAAATCCATTTTGATACCTTTAAATAGCTCCATGGAAGTGCTGCTGGATTTGGGTGTGTTTGGGGCTTTGAAGTAACAACACAGAGTCTCTTTAACCAGGTACACAGCCCAAGGGGGGCAAAGGCAGTGGGAGGGGGGAGATTTTGGGGGATGATGTGGATCTTCTTTGGGGTGAGTGGGACAGGGTTGGGGGGGGGTGACCCTGGGGGCGGATTTGGGGGTCAGTACCAGGGTGTGTGAGTGGGACAGGGTTAAGGATGTGACCCTGGGAGCTAATTTGGGGGTCAGTACCAGGGTATGTGAGTGGGACAGGGTTAAGGATATGACCCTGGGAGCTAATTTGGGGGTCAGTACCAGGGTGTGTGAGTGGGACAGGGTTAACGATGTGACCCTGGGAGCTAATTTGGGGGTCAGTACCAGGGTATGTGAGTGGGACAGGGTTAAGGATATGACCCTTGGGGATGATTTGGGAATCAGTACCAGGGTGTGTGAGTGGGACAGGGTTAAGGATGTGACCCTGGGAGCTAATTTGGGGTCAGCCCTGCTGGGGATGACCCTGGGGCAGAGGAGTTTGACTGGGCTGGGGGGCTCAGACTGGGTGTGACTGAGCGGGACAAGGGCAGGAGGGCCGGGGGTGGATGTACCAAACGCAGGGTGAGCCCCAGCGCCGGGAGCGTCCCCGAACCCCCCGATCCCCTCCCGGGATCCCCCCGGCCGGTCCTCCCCGTTCCCGGCGGCCCCCGCGCCGGCCCCTCGCGCCGCTGCCCGGCCCGTGATGCACCGCGGCGCTGGCGCAAGATGGCGGCGGAGCGTCAGGGCGGCGGCGGCGGCCGCGGGGCCGGGGCGGAGGAGAACCGGGACGGCAGGGACGGCAAGGACAACAAGGAGAACGAGCGGCCCGCCGCGCCGCAGCCCGGCGGCCTCGGCGACAGCCTGGGCCTGGAGAGCATCCTGCGCCGCGGCGGAGGGCGGGGGGGAACGTGGCAGGCCCGGCCCCGTGGGCGGCGGGGGGACGTGGCGGCAGCGCGGGGATTGCAGGGCCCGGAGGATGCGGCCCCGCGGGCAGGGACGGGGGGCGGCGGGGACTCCCCGGGTCGGGCCCCGTGCGGGGGCACCGCGGAGGAGCGGGCGGTGTTGGCCCGGCCCGGCGTGAGGGGTTGGTTTGTGTAAAACGGCCCAGCCCGGCATTCCTGAGGTGTGGATTTGTGCTCTGCCTGTGCGGCTTCTCCTTCCGAACCGCGTGGCAGCTGGAGCCAGCCCCCACGGCCCAGCTCTGTGCTGGGTTGTGTGCTTTAGATAGGAGCAGGTCACCTCTGAGGTGCTGGTTGTAATATTAAAGCTTGAGGCAATAATGGATAAAAAAATCTTAACAGATGCGCTGAGGTGGCAAACCACCTCCTGCGAGTTTAGTGCTTCCAAAATCTGATGTGGCCTGTAAAGCTCGTGGAGGTTTTTGTACGTGAAACTTTAGATGTGAAGCTAGTCCAGCTGCACAGCTGTGGGAGAGCTGGGGTTTATTTATCTTCTGGGTCAGAGGAAAACTCAGGTGAAACGAGGTGGCAGTTTTCCACGTGGCATATGGCAGGTGGTGTGTAGCCAGTAACTGTGGAGTAGGATGCAGACATGGCAATTGCCCTGCTAACGTTGGGAATATCTAAATCAATGAAAAAGTGCATAATACAGGGGGTATGAATTCAGCAAGTAACTGCACAGGATTAAAGAGAGTCTGAAAAAAATCTTGGGTAGACAGCAAGGACGAGGAGGGCTGTGTTGAGATGTTGCAATTTGAATTGTTTGTTCCACAAATATGAAATAACTCATTGTAATAACTATTGGTGCAGGTTCTTAATACTTGAGAGATTTAATTTTAGGTGTAGTTACAAGAAAACACTTTGATAGACATTGACATTTTAAACTTTAAATATCT